AACTGACCAGGCTGAGAACAAAGAATGAAACATGCTCACTCAACTTAATCATTACTGCTTGAGTCAAACTCCAGCTGTTCAGAACAGGATGTAGTAGTTAATATAGAATAGTGGCAGGGGTTTTAAGCTCCATCTGACTCATGATGGAACCGCAGGCCTTCCATAACTTGTTACATTCACTAGCATTACATATTGTAGAACTCATTGACTGACATTAAATACAGGTTCCCAGAGACACCACATGAGATGGGCAAGATTATAAAAGTGGTTTGGCTCCCCCCGAGAAGGGCAAGGACTGACTCTGAAAGGGAAAAGACCCTTGGGTCAGGAAACACTTTACATCTTATAAATGGTGTGTTTCCAGTCTGTAGCTGAGAAACTGCAGCAGTAGTTGTCTTCATAGGATTTATTTTTAAGGCTTCATTTAGCAGGTTGCACCATATTAGTTTCCCTCTATACAAGACAGGGTCCAGCTTGATTCATGTGCACCCACGTAAGTTTGGCCCCTGTACCTTCCTTTGCTTCTGTAATCAAGGACGCAGGCCTGTAGCTTCTTAGCTCTCCCAAAGACCCTAACATCATTCAGCTACCCAGACCATTGGTGCTACAGACACACAGCTGTTTTCCCCCGCACCCCAGAATCGATCCTCCTGGCTCTTAAACTCCAACAGAAACTCTCTATGCCTAAGGAAGGGAGAACGCAACCAAAAGCTCGCTAAGAACTTTTTGCCATCTACTCAGGTGGTCTAATAAAAGATACCACATCTACCCAAATGACCTTGCCTACATCAAATCTCTAGACATCTGAATTTCTTGGTCTACTACTCTGGCGGGGTACTGACGTTTCATATAAGACAAAGACAAGAAGCCTGGGATTCTTACCTGATAATCTACAAGGAGTTCAGGTCCTTTGAAATACCGGGAAGCCACTCTGACATTGTACTCCTGACCAGGATGATAGAATTCAGCCAAACCCCAGTCTATTAGCCTGAGCTAGAAATGAAATAGGAAGAGGTGAATTAACTCAGTCTCCCTCAGCTCGCCAATGACTATAAATCACATACTGAACAATTTTATTTGTGTGAGATATCAGACTAAAGTTCTCTGTTCCCTATTAACTGGAAATGAGATAATGAATATTTCTGTTACTTCCTGATAGAGGATTACTCTACACCATATGCACTTTTTTTTCCTTGTGCTGAAAATACTTAACCAGCATCTGCTCCATCACAACATCCTTCAAACCGTTTGAGCAACCACATCATGGAATTCTGGTTCCACAGTAACAGGATAGGAAGAAAGTGTTTCCTAATGTGTTATTGCTGTGTTAAGTTAGGCTGTCAGCAGGTCAGTCTTCCATGGGCCAAGGACAGTTGCAGTTCTGTATAACCTATATAAGTAAGTTTAAGAAAAGCCAGCCTATAGAATTTCATTTTACATGTGCTCAAATAATGGAAACACTGCCACAGCATGGAAGTAACCTGAAGGAGGTGCTGTAGAGTTCAGACAAGAGTGAAACCCACCCAACTCCCGCCTTTACCTTTCTATGCTCATGGTCAATCATGACATTGTGAGGCTTGACATCTCTGTGCATGATCCCCATGCTATGACAGTAATCCAGGGCCTGAAGAAAACACATGGAAAAGGAAAAGTTATCAGCAGCACAGGTGAGCAGTCTCATTTTGCACCCACTCTAACTAAAGTGGAAGCCACCATGAGACATCCCTTGAGATCCTTGCACAAGGCCCCACTCTTGGGATGGAGGGGCCTGTAAAGAGGGGCTCCGACTGAAACCCACTCTTGTTAACAGCATAGATGTGTGACCCAAACCATCTTTAAAGTGCATGCAGATAATAGAAATGTTTGAGGCACAGCTTTTTGTTCAAGCCCAGTGTTTAACTGTTTCAGCATGCACCCCAGTCTTACCACACAGCAGACTCGACCATTACCATAAGCCTATTCTATTCTGAAACTCATGCACTATGAAAAATAAGCCTCTCTAGAACTGGCTTTTCAATACCTTTCTCCAGGAGTGGGCCCAATGCCCTAGCTTCATCTCACATGCTTCCTTATAAAAGTGGAATTTCAACAGGACCCCTAAGGGTAGCTCTACCAGGCACTATGGACCAAACACCTAGTTCTCTCAAAACACTGGAGGAATAAAAAGAATTCCCTATCCTATCTGAGGAAGAAAGGATATGGGCAGCAAATGAGCTCAGGTCAGTGACAGGCAGGAGCCAGCCCATCACAGCTTCCTATCAGCTTTCCACTAATATAGGCTACAACACACTTATGCCTTAAGATTTAGAACAGTCTATCATGTAGCTCTCTACACTCAAATGCTACAGCTCTATTTCCCAGCAGAGCCAGCATCTGCTGCAGAAGCATGGCAAGGACGTTCATGTGAATGTGCATCCATTCAGCCAACCCAATTTTATGTGGGCCTCCTCCTTTCTTGCCCACCTGCATTTTTTCCATACTTAACAAGTCACCCCAAGCACTGCGGGGTGTATCCCAGATGCAAACTGCAGAGGCATAAACAGACTGCATAAAACAGGCAACAAGCAACATGCTTACCTTCAAAATCTCATACATGTAGAATCTAATGTCATAGTCTGTTAACGTCTGGTATAATTGCTGCAAGATAAATGCATTACTTCAGTGCTAGGCACAGAAGGAGGTCACAGCCTCCTTCCCCCACTCAGACTTCCCTGCTCCTCCTCCCACCATAATCCAATTACATAGTTCACACTACTTAGGTTCAATGCAAACACCACTCTCAGAGCACAGTTCTACCCCCCTTTGCTGCAGGCACCTCAAAACCCTTTCCAAATGCTGTGTCATAAGAAGTGCTGGCTCTTTAAGAGGGCAAAGATCGTTGCAAGATTAAGAGAGCTCTTCCAGATGGTGTTACGCAGCTATTCTTCTCCGAGGCTAGGTCAAAGCGGGGAGGGGCAAAGCAGCACCAAAGTCCCTGTGCTCAGAGCAGGGGAAAGCTATGGGAACAGGCATTTTTCTAAACAAACAGAAGTTTAGGAGAGGGATCAGATCAGGTCTCATGCTGGGAGCCAAAGCAAGCTTGTAATGAAACCACAGTCCAAATCAGTTGTAATGCCTGCTGATATGTGGGAAGTGCTTGGTCTAGTAGCAGAGCAAGATGTGGGATCAGAGTGTCTAGCTACTAGTAAGAGCTCCATGACCAAATCGTTTTGAACAGGCAAATCAGAAACTTCTGCCCTTGTTCAGCCTTCTCAAGAGTCAGGGTAGCGTGTCAAAAGGAAACTACCCTTAAAAACTTGCCCCAGGTAGAGATACTAGTCTTTCCCCATTGAGAAAGATTTTCAAATGGGAAAAAAAAATTCAAGTGGATCTCTCATACTGTACCTTAAAGTCTGTGTTGTTTACGTGTTCAAAAACCAAAGCAGGGGTCCGGGACTAGGAGAGAAAAAGTAGTCTTTAGCCGCATGATGTTTGACCGCATAATTAGCCTTTGCATGTATTCAGGGCAGTTTTGCCATTTCTATTATCGAGCCCTTCAATAAAGTCCCTTTCCCATTAACAATGAACACATTCTTGTAGTTTTCAAGGATTCACTCAGACAGCAAGGGTGAAGCTGCAGCTTGCACTGCTGTGCACTGGCCCTACATCTACAGAATGAATTAACACATCTCAGTTCAGTGCTTCCAGACCCTTGGTCCACAATGGTAAGACATGGTTTAGGGGGGAGGGCCCTCTGAAAGCCAGTAATCTGATTAAAGGGCTGATCAGATTAAGTCATTCAAAAGCAGGATTTCAAAGTAGGAGAAAAATGAAGCGAGGCCATGTCAGTGCTGTAGTCAAGCCCAGTAACCTTGGCATTAACCCCAGGGTACCCTGCAAGCCCCTCACATACTTACCACAGGGTCTTTTACTATGTCTGCAAGGGTGATGATATTGGGACCACCTCGCAAGTTTTCCAAGATCTTGATTTCACGCTTAATTTTCTTCTTTTTTACAGGCTAGGAGGAAAAATGGTAAAATAAAGCATTCCAGTGAGAATGAAATTAACCGAAAACAACAGCTCAGCATCCAGGTGGCAAACAGGACTGCCTTGTCGTAAAGGATGCGGCGCCCTTAGGGATTTAGAAGCAGTAACAAAACAGTCTCTCTCCCCACTTGCAGTCATACGACAACTTCAACAGCTCCAGCAACTTTTCTGTGAAAGTTCTAGTGAGGAAGTGGATATATTTTTAGCTGTCTAAATGTAACCTGGCAGCACAAAAGGACATAACTAGCACCATGTGACAAGCGAGCTGAGAGGACCACCGGCATGATATAATGATATTCTAACCCCTCATGATATTGACAGGTTAGAATATTTCGCCAATTAATACCACAAGATTGAACTCCTCAGTGCCATGGCAAGAAAGCCATGGGAGCAGACAGAAGCATGGAGCAGCACCTGGGAAGGATGGACCAGCATGGAAGCAGATGCAGCTGTTAACACAGATGTCCTACAGGCTGGTATCCAAAACAATCACCAAACAAGACTTGCAAGATAGTGACTATGGTGAGTTTATTATCAAGTCAAAATGTTTCAAAGGCTACAGAAGACATTTTCCATTGCCAGATTTCTGGAGGCATGGCCATTTGTGTTAGGACATCTAAGGAGCTCTGGGCCCAGTCCTGGACTTGAAAGCCACGCAGATGTCCCAGGTACAGACTGTGACCTTCTCTGGTTCCCTGACTCACCTTGAGGATTTTAACGACTACTTTTTCATTATTTGTGATGTTGATGGCTTCAAACACTTCGCTGTATTTGCCTCGGCCTAATTTCCGAACTAGCTGATAGTCATCTTGATTTCTGCGGAGAGAAAGCCACAGAGTTCCAAAAGAGGTAAGTCAGTCTTTACCGTCATTCATAAAACGCTACTTCTACGAACACCAGCTCTCTGCCTCACCTTCCCTTCTAGTTAGTCTAGCAGAAAGATCCTAAAGGATTAAGAATTGATAGAAAAATATTAACCCTCACCTTTCCACAGTCTATTCAAGTTCAAATCAGTTCAGTGGCTACCAAGAGCAGCTGATGCCTGCGACCTGCCCATTTCAGTGAAGCTGGCCCAATGAAGCTCTTGCTCAACAGAAGTTCATCGCATCTCAACAAGAGGTTGAGGATGAAGGGGCCCTGCAGACAGCTGGCCTCTTGCTCCTCTAAGCAGCCCCTCCCATTCAGGAGGCCTGCTGAGAAGGCAATGTACAAAGCCTTTCACTACCACAGCTCGTTGGGGACCTTTTGGTGGGTAGCAGACCTCCTTCCAAGTGTCTGTTCAAGGTTCTTCACAAGAATCAAATCCACACTGTGCTGACCAGCTTCCTCTCCAACAGGAGAAAGAAATATCAGCTCAGTGTCCAATTAGTCTGTTTTCCTGAGTGGAGGACTGGGAAAGAGCTACGTGGTTCAGTTAAGACTGGCCCTTCCAGCGGACTTTGTACATGTGGCTTCCATGTGCTTCGCAAGATAATCAAGTTCATGGAGACTATGTAACAACTGATTTGAGTTGCTTGGAAGCAGCTCCAAAAAATTAAATATTAAAACTCCCATTTAAAGTGGGCTAAGTCTATGCTGCTGCTGAAGCTCAGAAGACAATTCAAGAAGTCAGACACTGCAGCAAAGATAAGGGTAGGACCAAGATAGTCCAGAGCCTGCTATATAAAAGCAGCACTGCTGAGCTCTCAGCCTTGTCTGATTTCTGGGAGGTTTTAGTTATAACTTCAATTTAGATGCTCTGTGCCTTTGAAAAAACACATATGCAGCTTGCAGAGCTGAGCAAGAAAGCTATAAAGTGATGCATATGGGTTTTTTGTTAAATCTACTAGAAGTCTCTTCAGTTACTTAACATGCAAGTATCTTATGAAGGTTTTTCAGATTATTTCCCCAGGACAGGTAAGATTCGTTCCTTATCACAAGACTGAAATTTTGTAGTGGGGTGGTAAATTTCTGACCCTTTGACAAGGCTATTTACTTCAAATCAAACCGAGGGGGCATTTTCTTTTGAACTGATAGGTGGTCTAAACATGCTGGCAAGACAAATTTTCAGACAATGAAAGGACACTACATTATTTCTACAAAGTTTAAAAATCTAACAAATGCCACTGCTAGGATATTAGCAAACTGCAAGATAGCCTAGGCTCGAACTGGGAGCTTTTCATACACACAACTCAGGCAGTTTGAACAAAGATCAGCCCCTGCCTGCTGAGTCAGCAAGAAGCGGGAACCACTTACCCCCATTCGACAACATGCGACTCATAGTCCCAGTATTCCCGGGGTCTGTGTGTGTTTACATCAGTGTAAACTCTGGCCCTGCTTGGCACGGGTCCCGACATGTCAGACAGGTTGGCAGGTGGAGCTCTCTCAGGTGTTTTGATTTCTGGTAGCCTCCAATCTCAAAGCTGGACACAAGGCAAAGGCCTTGGATTGGGCTCTGATTTTTCCAGCTGTAGACAAAATGAACAAAGATTATAATCTCAAAATAGTATAAAAATATTTAAGTTAATCATTAAAAGCCATCTAGTGGAAACGGATATGGGCCCTGGACCTTGAACATTCTCCTAGACATGGAAAACTGACATGCCTGCTCCCACAAGTGGGAAGGAGCATTAAGCCATACGTTTTTGCGGCTTCAACGCTTTCACTTTTTTAAATGAGATAAAAAAAATTAAGGTATGGTTGCAAAGATAACTATCCAAGTAGGAGCCACCATTGCCTGCAGATAGATTCCTCCCATTTAAGCCTGGTCCTGAAAAGCAACACACTTAATACCCAGCTTCTTATCCATCCAGTCCAGAAACAGTGCCCAAGCCCCTTGGTGTTAACCCAAATCAACCTTTTATTCACACTACAAGACAGCACAACTGGGATACGCCACCTATTTGCAATGCACTGATAAGTGACGCTGCACAATACGAAGGGCTGACAGGCAGATTTACAAGGCTGCTTGGGGAACCTTAACTGCCATGACTTTGTAAAAATAGTATTAAAGTTTTGTATTTCCACCTTAGAAATTCTCTCTCTTTGCAAGATACACACAGACACAACTGTCAACTACTTTTGCCTCAATGCACTTACTATTCCATTACTATGTACGGCCTCACATGCAAGAGAGACTACACTCTATTCACTCCAGAAGTCCAAACCAAAGCCAGTCTAATCACAAAGTGACTTAATTTCCAAAAAAGTGACTAGTTTGTTTTCCACCAACTGCAAAAGTGTCAAGGAAAGCAGAGTCCAGAAGTACAAAGCTTTTAGCAGTGTTGAAGCAGGGTGCCCGATGTACAGGGCCAGGAGGCCTGGGGCTAACCACTGTTACAATTTGCAGGTCAGGAAGCCTGCAAGCTATGCAGGCTGGGGATAAATAGGGTGAGGAAGGTATTGAGGAAGGAGAGGCAAAGACTGGCGAGATGTTGCAGGGAAGAAAAAGAGTAGCAAGGAACTCATTTAAAGGGGGAAAGTAGTCCAAGGGTTGAGTTCACCAGCACAAAGAAAAGGACACAGGGGAAGGAACCATGGTGGGCAGATGGTATTTAATCTCGGGATTTCCTTGAGTGCCGCTGGGATTCTTTTATCAGGAAAAAACAGCAGGTGCATGTGTTTCAGAAAAGGTAGAATTAAGTGTGACCTGGCTGAGCCACGTGAGAGAAACCTTCAGGACATGCAGTGAAAGTTAGCAGGGGGCATAACAATATCTGTAACACTACAAACAAGAGGATGCACCAGGTGAAGAAGCAAGTGATGGGGCTCAAGAAGCATCTTCTTGTTTTTCTGACCTCTGCAAAGAGCCCAAGACGTCTGTATTTGGAACAAATACCCTCACAGACACGTTGAGGGGGTAGGACAAACAGGAGCAATAAACATAGTCAGCATATCTGGCATGCCTGCCATGTGTTATCCCAGCTCTCATAAGCACTCAACCCAAGAGTAGGCACAACATCTTTCACCAAACAGGTGGCTCTTGCCCTCGTTCAAAATAGCTTCACACTGACTTTTTTCAATAACCAGCCAATCTCCGTCCACGGAGAGGGGAAAAAAAGTCACAGAACATCAAGCTTTGTGCGCAGTTCAATTGCTAAACAGCAAATGATGCTTCAGGTCATCAAGAGTGCAAGCTCGTCAAGGAAAAGCCTGTGATGTACATCACCTGCAGTGCAGCCAAGACATTATGGACACATCAAAGGAACAAATATACCGACACTTTGGGTCTGCAGTAAGAGAAGTCCATCCCCTGGTTCCCAATGGCTTGTCACCTATGATCTGCTCCATCTCACACACTGCAAAATGGGCACACCCAAGTGTTTTATGTAGGTTACCAGGCAGAGGCCCCGCTTTTATGACCACAATGATTCACTTTGTGGTATGTATTTTCCATCTTAACCAGCCTTTCAGCTCCTGGGCTTTCGAGGGCCTAACCCACACATGGGCTTGTCTAAACACACTGCTTTCACTGTAAGCCAAGGTGAAGCCAGGCAACTCCCAGTGTGAATGTAAGTATACAGCTGCTTTAGCCGGTTCAGCTATTCCCACGTGGGACTAGGAATTAGTCAGACCAGCAGAGGCAATAAGGGTTTCCTACTTTAACCACACTTACTGTGTGCCGCTGCAGCAGGAAAGAGAGCACGCTCCAGTTATACAAGAAAAAAAAGACATGCACCAGGCCCTAGTGATGCTAATAATGACCGAGAGCTATTCAGAGCTTTAAAATGTCTGCTTGAAATTTGGAGCTCCAGAGCTTGTGACAAACTGGGACAGCTGGAAAAATCATTTGGATTATCTGACTATAGAAAGTTTAGACTCTAAATAAAATGACCAACAAGAGGTTTCACTTTCCAGACTGATAACTTTCATTCAAATTAAAATGAAATTATTGTTGTTGCTGTGATTTTTTTTTTAAGCATTTCTCCTCATCCTGCTTCTTCTGAGTATTGCCTAGTTTTCACATTCTCATTAAGGAGACTCAGTAAGAGTCAGCCACTATTAAGCTCTGGCCTCACTTAATTATAAAATGAGATGCCACTGCCATGATCCATCAGCATGAGTCACAACAGACTAAATTATTTCAAAGCCAAAGAAAAATTCTAACTCTTAAATATTACAGTCAACATTCATCTAACCTGAAAGACCAGTTACTTGCAATAGCTCTAGTTGAGTTCCCCACCAGAACTATCCAGGACTCTTGAATGCTTATTTGATCTGGTCCCAGGGTAACTAAATGTAATATAGACACTGCAGCTGACAATTCTCTCTGCTCCTCTGGCAAGAAGGAACCGCTTACTGCAAGGGTGAAGCTCATTTACGCAGGAGATGGTGCTGTTCCTGGACCTGGTCCAACAACTGCAACAGGATCTAACTCTCCAAACTGCACCATGATCCACTCCTGGTGCCACATGATCCCATTTTTGCTGAAACAAACCAAGAGCCAAAGTACAGCAAGAACTCCCAGACAGAAGGGCGACAGAAGCAGAAGAGGTCCTATGCACGCTGCTCCACACTGCTGGAAGTATGGCGATGAAGGTGATGTTCAAAATCTAAGGAGACAAGAACCATGACTCCAAGTCCAGACATGGAGAGATAAAACTGTGCAAGTTATTTGATCTCCTAGCCCTGGGTGGTCAGGCATGGGAACAACTTGCTTAGGAAGCTGTGGAATCTCCATCCCTGGATATTTTCAAGAGCAGGTTGGACAGACTGATTAGACAAGGCTAAATTACTGAAGTTTCACATCCACTGATGTAGGGACAAGAGTGGAGCAAAAGGCAGCTACTACAGAGCACCTGCTGGATAGTTACACCCCTGCCCTTTTTAATCTGAGGGTAAATTGCTCCCATGTTTATACCCTAAACCACCGTGGATGCTGCAGCAATGATCTGAGTGCTGCACACAACTTTTTGCACCCTGACAAAAAAAGCACAGGCTCCTATTAATTAGACCGAATGAAACACAGCCCCATTGAGCAGTGAGACCTATCAGCAAACCCTGTCCAGCAGACTGACACACGGTGAGTTCAAGTTACACCACACCAAAGAAGCAAGGTCCAGATGTGTAGACCCTCCATTGAGAATATGCCATCATCAGACCTGGATAGGGAACTGCTCTAACCTGGGTCTGTACAGTGGCTCCTACCACACAGGAGGCGGGCAAGGTGGTTCAAGGTGATAAAAGCATGCATCGCTGTAGCAACATCTGCACCAGAGATATGCCTGAGGCTTCTAAAAAAAAGGAGAATAAGGACAACAGCACTTCAGACTGGCACTCCAGGGGGGAGGGAGAATGGAGAAGAGACAGTACTGTCTGAAAATAAGCAGCAGGAAAAGTGCTATTCTCTGTAACAAACTATTACTGCAGAAGATTAGGTAGCAACTGGTTCAGACCCAAGGTTCTTGCAGCTCCGCATGACCCTGACAACTAGAAATGACAAGCACCCATAGACAGAAAAATCCTGACATGCTGCATTGCCAAGATTTGCAAGCTGACTACTATGCACTCAGTACAGTGAAAACCATGAAGATACATTTCATATCAGAACCAGTTCATTTGTAGCCATCCTCTCCTTGCCCTACCCCCTCCCAGCTGAATGACAGTGACTTTTAATTTGGCAACTAGAAAGATAAAATTAGATGCCCAGCAAGCAAGTTGCTTACATGCAGAGAGGCCATGCAAACCTAATTAGCACTATTTTAGTTGGTTAATATTCTTGAATTTTATAGAAGTATTTTCTAGCGTGCTCCCCTGTATTGCTTGCTGACCTTAAACCAGTTTAAACTGGCTTGGGTACTTTAAAGACTTGCATAAAGATTAATTTAAATACAAGAAAAATCCTAAAGATGGTTTTATTTTGCTGGGGGGAAAAAAAGAGCGAGAACACTACCATTCACAGCAGATGTCATCACAAGTCACGTAGCTTAGCACAGGGCATATAACATGCAGGACTGCTCAGAAGGCATCTTCAGGAAGCTACAGTGGGTGGTTTTTGACAGTGGAACATACAATTCCTGGAAGCACAAGGCTATCTACATCCACAAACACATATATTTATATCCCCGCTTCTATGTAGGGAGAGATGAGAGAATATGACAGCTGAGGTAGCTTCTGGCTTTATATGCAAGTCACCTCACATTTGCTTGAAAGCTAAAAGCAATCAGCAGTCACATTCTCATCCTTCCCATTAAGAACTGTGGGGGAGTTGATACATATTCCACCCTCATTCTTGAGAGGGCAAATTTAGCAGCTGATTTAGGTCCCTGGCCAGGAGGGACGGATTTGAATTCAGCTGAGTAGTGTGGTAGGAGCGAGCATGCAGAATACAGCTGGGTCCATAGCAGGAGCTGCAGTA